TAAGCCTACATAGTTTTGAAATAACTATCACCACCTCCACACCTCTCTCAATTAAGATTATCTGGTTAGTGCAAAAGAGGAATTGTGTGTGTGCATGAGCAAACTGCCCTTAGTTACAACTTCAGACCCTGTGAGGCAATGAGCAGGGTTATCACAGAACAAGCTGCAATTGCCCATAATGAACATGCCTCAAACATGCCTGGGTTGTGGTTGTACCCGTGCAGAGCTCTGGGTCTGGTGATGGATGACGGTGCCTTTCCTGTGGCAACGCAACCCACCAGCTGACAAATTTTAAGTATGCAATGCTTAAAATGCAGCGAGATTAAATTTAGAGAGAAACTGATCACCACAAAATGACAACTTAGTGAGTGAGCTGAAAGATATTTTCAGGTAAAAACCTTGCGCCTTCGTGATACCCCAGCCTGATTTCTCAGCTTCGATCTATTTAGCTGCTTGGCGACTCAGCTCAATCAGGCTATGCTGCAAGGATGTGATACAATCATGCTAATGGGATAAAATGATAACTGAAACTGCCTTCCTGGGAATTACAGCAGGAACAGGGGACCACCAGTGCCCTGAGCTTCCCCGTGCCAGTTCCGGACCTCACAGGGGGACTGGAGGAGAAAATTACAGCGAGAGTCACAAGATGCACAAGGTTGCGTCTGTGGGATGAAGCCCTACGAGCAGGGACAGGCAGCACAAGAAAACAAACAGACAAACACGCCGACCCTAAAGCAGGAGCCTAAATGTTCATTTTCTAGAGCTGTGAAGGGTTATCAGAGCTTTGCTGGTTATGAAGGTGATGTCCTTGTGGAAGAGGCACCTGAGCGTGCTCTGCAACACAAAGCAGGTATTACGGGGAAGAGAAAGACCAGGCTAAAAAAGTGCATTTGTTGGTTAAGCAGCACTTGTACCAGCATGGCGTTATCACTTGCTTCGTGCTCATTGCAGGGATTGTTTTATAACAGACTTTGAAGCAGAAACCATCTTTTTGTCCTATATTCATAAAGAGTATGGGATCAAAAGACAGGCGTGAGCTAGATGAAGCGTTCAGGTTCATTCAAACCACAGAAGTTTGAGGAAACATGCACAAAGTTCTTACTTTATGTGAAGTTCTGCCTGGAAGCGGTTCACAGCAAATAGCGTTTTACTACTATTGTTTAGAAACAGTTGCTTTGTGTTAAAACCTTGCAAGTTGCCTGTAGAGCAGGGGAATTCCTCTCAAACTCTTGCAATTTCTGCTCCTGGCCTCTTCGCTTCCCCCCCCCGCCATGATGTCACCCGCATCTTTAGGTGGCTAAAAATGACCATTTTTGGGTTCCACACTCAGTACGTTGGTGGCATCTCTACTATTCCTATAAGTATTTTGACCACCTCCGATTTGCTCAGCAACGCACATCTGGACTTAAGAAAGTTTTTAGTGCATCCATTTTTAAACTCTGGACATCAATATATTAAAAAAAGAATTAAACATCGAGAGTCAAGCAAAGACCAACCGAACTGCAAGCTGCAAAACAACACTTAATCTGCCTAAATCCAAACTGGAGACAGAGCAGGAGAAAATTTCCAGCAACAGAAGCATCACAATCTGAGGTAGGTGATCCTCAATTTGGGCTTAAAATAGTATTGTTTGGAGTACAGTGCTATTGCACAGCCGTTACATCAGCCACTTTGATGTATGTCACCTACGACAGATAACAGATCAGAAATTTAAATAGTCATTATTTGTATAGCAATACATGTATTATAACTCATTTATGCTGATTTAGTTTTTCAAAGCTAGTGTGATTTTTTGTTTCTTTTTAAAGCTATAATTAGATTGCTGACTTTTTTGCAAAGAACACACACCAAAAGAATGTGGACAAGGTAAGTTCTTATGCAGACCCACGCAGAGAGGCTCTGCCCAGTTACGTAGCAGCAGCCAGCTCACCTTGGATGGTGGCAGGATAACAGTTTAACCAGACAGGTGCAGAAAATTGACCGTATAAACATTTTCACATACAAAACTGCAGTGAAGACAGGGAAAAAAAACCCAACCATACATGGTTTATTTCTTAGTAACGCCTGCATTTCTGGGATTTATAATTCTAGCTCTTTCTTTCACTTTCTGATTTTTTTTTTTTAATGCCTATTTGCTGGTTAAAATCCAAAACACCTCCTCACCTAAAGCTTGAGATTAAATGAGATTAAAATTTAGCTGACAGCTCTGTCCTGCAGATGGGAACCACGTTCACGCTCCTACATCAGTGCTCACTCCAGACGGGAATTTTCACATAGACCCCCTGAGAGCTCCGATAAAGCAGCTCAATAACCCAACAACACTGCAAGAGCAGACGCGTACTAAGAAAGACCTACCCAAATGTGCTTTATTTTAGCTTCCGTCTAATCCCTAAATCGTTTGCAACATGGGTCAGGTACTGGCTCACAGAGCTTCCCACGCATCAGCCACCATCTCGTACCTGCAAATCACATCATTCGACACTGGTGGATGCTGTGAGCGACCCAGGAGAGGCAGTTTTCGTGCTGCAGGCTGGATGAGCGTGGCTAGGGCTCAGCTGAAGTTACCCAAGATAATTGGACTAGTTTTTCTCCTGGAAAAAGTGAGATCTCCATATTAGCAGCTTGAAAGGCCTTTGCGGTGGTCACAGCAGGCACAGTTCATGCTCTCCGGGGCTCTTTGCTAACGCGCTGCCTGTTGCTGCAGGGTGGGAAAAGGAGGAGTGAATATGGGGATTGTGGATTAGTGGTAAGTGATCTTAAACTATTGCAGCTGGGGGATTGTGTAAGCCTGGCACCCACCTCGTGAGGAGGCAAGGAGCTTGTAGACACTTCACATCTCTCTTGTTAACGGGCTGATGCTGGGGACAATTTAGCCTGTTAATGCCAGCCCAGAATACATCTACTTAGGAAAAAAGCCTCATTCAGATGCTAACCTGAACATCAGGACCACATCAGCTGGGCCGGCACATGATGAAATTTTGGCCTCCAGCTGGCAAACTGGCAACTACTTCATTATTTTCAGCACACCAGGACTTCTCCCCATGTCCCTAGTCCAAAAATGAGGAAAAGAGGGAGTGCACTGGCTCAGCTGTAGTGGCGTACACCAGAAAAGATGAAACGAGCATAGGGATAATATTTTTCCCAATTTCTGGATGTAAATAAGAACATCCAGCTCTTCTAGGGCATTTTTGTTAACTCCTCTTTGCTTCAAGTTGTCCAGATTGGTGGGCATTATGGTATTGAATAAAACTCACCGTTTTTTAACTAGCCACGCCCCAACAAAGAGATTTTGCACAATTTTGTCCAGTCTCTGTCCAGCTGCCATGAGGAAACTACTGAGGCTCTGCTGAAGCCACCACACGGTGTCAACCTACACAGAGCTGGGGTGACTCGAACGTCTTTCTTGCTGTTTGCTGAGGGCACAGAAAGCTATTTTGCACAGGCAGATGTGGTCAGCCAGCCATGCACAGATACACACGCATCTCCACAGCACCGCTGCCTCCGCTGCCTCGTACGCGGGGAAACAAATGGAGGGGAACCTGCCCGAAGAGGATGCTGTGCCAGCTGCACCACCGCAGCGCTTCAGCCTCTGCCGAAAAGGGAAGAGAGCATTTCTGCAGTCCCATCCCATGCTTCCTATCACAGAGCAACAGCAAAGGGGAGAGCTAGATGGGAGCTGAGTTTGCAGCCGGGGAAGATGCACATCGTCCCCAACACAGGGCGTGCAAGGCAGAGCAAGTGACCGGTGCATGGGCTGAGCCCGTCTCCCACTCCTCTGCAGCATGAAGGGGTGGAGAGCGGGCAAGCAGTGGGCTCCCGTGGGCATCCCATGAGCCAAGGCCGCTGCCACCAGCAGTAGCTGGCAGGAGCCAGCTCAGCACCGTGGCGGGTGGGAATAAGGCTCGCTATGGCATTGAGCTTCTGTCGTTTCCTTGTTCATCTTTCCAGAATGCTTTGAAGTGATTCCAATGCACTAACAAGTATAATAAACCACGTGATTTGCACCTACCAAGGTTTTAACTGCAGTGGGAGTTAGACAAACCTCAAACAAATAATTTGAGTAGAGGCTCTTTAGGATAAAACACTGCAGTAATCAACAGTCAATTTTTAACTCAGACAAGGAAGTAATTCCTATCTGAAACAGAGACACCCAAACACTGTTTCTGTTCAGATCTGAGAATGGATAACAACAATCTGTACAAAGATAAATTGCAGGGAAGAAAAATAAGAAAGGAAGAAAGATAATTGGGGCATGGCAGGAGATGTTTAAGAATGTTGGCATTCCAAAGAAAAAGAAAAAGAAAAAGAAAAAGAAAAAGAAAAAGAAAAAGAAAAAGAAAAAGAAAAAGAAAAAGAAAAAAAAAAAAAAGAAAAAGAAGAAAGAAAAGAAAAGGCTTGATGCCGCAGGTCAGTCTGCAGATGGCTGGCTGGGTGGTAGGGCAGGCCCAAGTGCCACGTTTCACGGCTGCTGCTGGCTCCCTGGTGCCGGGTTTGGCAACCACCGAAGCAATCCTTGAGTGCCTCTGTACACGCACGCGCTCGTGCAGCGGCAGCGCAGCCCCACAGCCCACAGCAGTGCCGGCGGGGGCGGCTGCTGGGTTGCGCAGTGCCGTGGCTCAGCTGCAGCACCGCAATGGGTCCCTTGCCAGCCCGACAGACCCCCAGCTTTCAGCTGCCAGTGACCTGTCATTACCAGCAATGCCTTTAGTACCCACACAACAGGATTTAATGCAGGAGCGTGAGAGCTGCCGAGCACTATCAGCACTTTTTTTGCTTTTTAAAATTCCCTTGTCTTTGGGCTAGGCCATGTCCCGGGCTGGGAGCCACCAGGGACACAGGCGCTCTGCTCTGAACAGCCATCAGAGCAATCTGGGTGGTTTACCTTGGCAGATCCCAGCCACAATCTTTCTCTTCTGTTTGATAACACAGACATCAGCAAAATCCCGTATCCAAAGCAAGATTTTTGAAGTTTGCCGAGCGAACATTCCTGAAGGCTGGACATGGCGGTTCTCCTTCTCTTAGCAGCTTTGCTGCAAGGTGAGTCGCCAAAAACCAGCTCACCGGCCACTTGCACTGACATGAACAGGCAAAGCTGGAACCGGGGACACAGGTACATCCCTGGCTAAATCCTCACTTGGACACCAGACACTTTCACCTGCAAAATGGAAACTGCTCAAATCTCCCTGCCCGTTGTGCAGAGAGCTAGCAAAGGCGTCGCAAGAGCTGGGAAGGAGAATCCCAGCTCTCCATTGCTCGGCCCTGCAGACAGCCACTGGTGCCTGTGCAATGCCACTGCAGGGACAAGAAAGTTGCCAGATCAGACAGAGTTTGCAAATGCCAAAGGTTATTCTTAGATGTTTGCTGTTAACTGCTGCCCTTGACGTTTAACTCCAGGCAGGACTGTCAGGGCTGCTGGGGGTTTTGGGCATCATGTAAGGGGCATTGAGGGTTTCCCCATTTGTGCTGTGGCAAAGGGGCAGTGGCTCTGCGCCATCAGTTATCCTCAAGCAGATAATGTGGCACTCAAGGATGGTAACACACCACATCCAAAATCAACACTGGACTTTCTGAGCCAGATGTCCCACTGGTGCCCTTGACTCAAAGGAGCTATGCTGGTTTTTAGCAGGCAAGGATCCGGCTGTCTCTAACCAACTACTCTTTCTTTCTTTCCCACAAAGAGCCAGTCTCAAGCACCTTGTACGGATCCAGGTTTCTGACAGGTAAGGTTGGAGGATCGGTCACCCATCAGTGCTTCTACTCCATCACGCCAGCCAACAAACATGACCGAAAATATTGGTGCAAAATAGCAAGAAGCGGAGTTTGCTACACCGTCATCTCTACAACCGGTTACACCTCGAAAGACCATGCGGGGCGAGTGTCTCTCAAGGACATCCCCCAGAACGGCACCTTCATGGTGACAATGACAGAGCTGAAGAAGAGTGACACAGGGACCTACCGATGTGGTATCGGCACCACCAACAGAGACCTGTATGTCAGCCTGGACCTGAGGGTTTTGGCAGGTAGGATGCTGGCAGGGGAGAGGGGAGCCTCCGCTCCGACAGCGGCTCAGCTCGCAGGGAGCAGTTTGGGGCTGGATGCTGGAGCATCCATGCACAGCAAGTGTATCAACTTTTTCTACCCCGTGCTATTAACCAGATAGTTACAGCAATGGGGTATAAAAGTACCCAGATTTGGCCAAATCAGCTGCTCGTAAATGTAAAAGGAAACTCTCCTGCCTGGCTGGTGGCTGCATGCTGGACAGTGCCTGCTGTGCTCTCTCCCACAGATGCCGGTGCGTCGGGACCAACCGAGCTTGTCTGGGGGGAGCTCCTCGGCTCTGTCACGGTCCTGTGCCCACCTGGGGACACCCAAGCTGATGAGAAGAGGTTCTGGTGCAAACTGGGGAGAACCGGCTGCGCTCTCATCGCCGACACCAGTGGCTACGTGGGAAAGAGTTACCAAGGACGAATCCTTATTACCCCTCAGGAGAGCTCTGGAGCTTTCAAAATCTTGATAAATGACTTAAAAAAGGAAGACTCGGGGCTGTACGGGTGCGGGACGGGAAGGCTTAGCGGTCAGGACAGCCTGCAGGTGGTGGCTCTGCAGGTGACCGCAGGTAGGACGGGGCGCTGGGGGCTGCACGTCCTGCATGGGTTTCCTGCAGCCCTGGATGAGTAGCATGAAATGCTAACGCAGTCCTCTCCAACCTGCAGCCTCCACCCTTCCCAAGAGACCAAAATTTCTGAGCGGCACAGTCGGAGGCTCGCTGTCCTTGAAGTGCCACTATGATCCCAAGGGGAACTACGAGAAGAAGTATTTGTGCAGGTGGAAGGAAGCTAGCTGCTCGCTGCTCGTGGACACGGACGGGTTTGTGCATGAGTCCTACGAAGGGCGAATACAAATAGCCAGCAGCGACCAGGAAAATGGGACTTACACGGTGGTGATGAGCCACCTGAGAGAGGAGGATGCAGGATGGTACTGGTGCGGGGCTAAAAATGGGCACACAGAGCACACGTCCTCTGTGAAGCTGCGCATCCAGAAGGGTAGGTGGTGGGATGGCTTGGAACACAAAAAATCCCTTTTCTTTTTTTTTTTTAAATCACTCTTTC